GCTGCCACGTGGCTTGCTGCTGGCGCGCGCAGGCAACTCCGCTGGGGGGTCGGGTGGGCAGCCCAGGCTGCCTGGCGGCACGCTTTCTGCTTGCGGGGGCAAGACGGCTGGGGCGTCGGGGGGGTAGCCTGGGCTGCCACGTGGCGTTTCGCTCGCGCGTGCAGGCGACTCCGGTGTGGCACCAGGGGTGCAGCCCGGGCTGGCAAGTGGCACGCTCGTCGTGCGCCGGAGGCTGGTGGGCGTTGGGGCAGGAGAAGCTTGATCCCGTACCGCCTCCATCGGGTCAAACTTGTGCGCGCGGCAAACAACTGTACCCTTGGCACAGCAGGGCTTGCAGAGCTGGGACACGCACGCCTTTGAACGGAAGTTCTTGTCACACTCGGCGCATTTGACCATAGCCTGCCGCGGTGCAGGTCCGTTTCCCCGCTCCTTTGCCGCGCAGTACTTCAAAACGGCAGTGTTGCATCTTTTCCGGGTTACTTCTACCTTCTTCCGCTCGCGCCGCCGGATTTCCACCGCCGCTTCTTGAAACAACTTCAACATCAGCTTCTTCCGAGCAGCCCTCTCTTTCGCCTCATTCCTTTCTCGTTCGCGATCAACTTCGGGCACCATCTCCGGTGCCAACTTTTCTTTCTCCGCCTTCAGGTTTACACCTCTTTCCGCTGCAGGCCGAAGCTCCGGCCTATTGGGAACCGTCGACTTTCCTGCTGCCTTGTCAAGCGCCGCGAGGAGGGCCACCAGCTTGCCTTTCATTATCTCCAACCCGAGCTCCTTTCCCGCAGCGGTGAAGTTGATGTCCTCACCCGTGTACGTTTCGCTCAGCACATGCTTCCGAAAACGCAGCTGATCTTTGACGGCTTCAAGCCGTGCGGCCTCCAATCGTTTCGCAATCCGGTCGGAGCTCCCCCCCAACTCCCCTGCCGGCAGCTCCACATGCTCCAGGCCACTCTCAACTTCTTCTTCCGACTTCCAAAGACCTCCCAAAGCCGTCACTTTCACTACAAGCTCCGCTTTTACCTCCGCCTCCTTCCGCCTCTTCACTGCCTCTCTTTCCCGCGCCTCCCTCAGTTTCGTCTCCGCTTGCTCCCGGTTTGTCGCCTGCCGCTGTCGGTGGAGCGCATCCAGCTCCGGCTTCAGTTTCATTGCTGCATGCACTAGCGCCGCCCTTCGCTCCGATCCCATTGCCCCCAGCCAGCCGGCCGACCCATTGTTCTTGAAGAGCAGCACCCCTTCGAGCGCAATCGTCAGGAAGTTCGGCTTCTCCCGCATGACACGGTCGAGGGTCGCAAAGTCCCTCTCCGACACGTCGTTCTCCTTCTTTACACTTGCCAAATCCGCCCGCTTCCCTTCGTTCACCCCGTCAAACTTCCCTTCCGGAAGCTGATCTTTTGCCATCCTCTCTAGCACAACCAACCAGACGCAGAAGTTGAGCTCCAGCATCTCCTTCACCACCGTGTCCTGCTCCACATACCGCTTGAGCGCATCCAGCACTTCGTCCTCCTCCCGCTCCCCCAAGTCCGGAAACAGCAACTCCCCTTCCAGGAACGCGGTCGCATCCTTTGACCATCGCGTGAACTTCTTCCGCATCTCGAGGTAACGAGTGTTGGCATCCAGAATGTGCCCACTTCGCTTGAACGCCATCATAATGCGCCCTGCCGCCTGCTTCTCCAAAAGACCAAGAGTTTTCAGCCCCGCCAGCATGAGCGGGTACCGGAACCCATCTCGGACGGCAAGAAGGAGCTTGTTAAGAGGCCCGCCGTGGATCAACTCCCAGACAGACTTGCCCCGATCCTCCCTGCCGTCGAGGAAATCGAGGATGGCGCCTTGCAGCCTTAGGAGCTCCCCCGAGTTCCGGTACAGCGCTAAGTACCGATGCCCTTTGAAGGCAACGAGGTTTGGCTTAAGCTCGAGGCGAGCGCAGTGTTCTTTGAAGCGCTCCGGCACACCAGCCTGCTCGGACCCCCGTTTCTGCAGAGCTTTGCATCCAGCCCGCACAAGCCCGCACACCCTTGCCTCCCCCCTCTTATCCTTGTGTTTCCGCTCCGCCTCCGTTTCGCCCCCCTCTCCTACAAGGCCATCCAGACCCCCCTGCGGCTCGTTGAAGCAGCACGCCTCGTACACCTTCATGGTTTTGGCTGAACCTTCCATAAACCCGATTCCCATATGCATGGCGCAGTACAGGGTTGACCGGTGCTAAAGCCTTTTTGGCGTCAAGCCCGAGCTGCTCCCACTCCTCCGGCGAGATGCCAAACTGTTCAAACCGGTACTGCGCCAGCTGCTCCGCTCGGTACTCCAGCAGAAAGTGCTCATTGAAGAGCTTCTGGGAGGCTGCCCTGCAGATTCGAGAGTTGCAAAATTGTTTGCTACCATTTTATCCGTGTATGTTTCTTGAGCTCAATGATGGTTGACATGCAGAATCTGCTCAAACGACAAAGTAGCTGGTCGAGGATGCTCAAAGTCTTGGAAAGGTAATCTATTCCGGAAAGCAATCATCAGCATGTTGGAGTGCCACCCAAGATACAATTACTAGAAGGCAACCTGGATATTCACAAACACGCAGTCAGAATCGCAAGTGTAACATGATTGCACAAGTCCATCAGAGGCCTTTGTGTCTCTTGGAAGTGGCCCCCACAAGAATTGATAATACTCTCTGGCGTCAACCTGTTGCCTTGGCCTCATATAGTGAATCAGGTCGATGCTAACTGAATGAATCTGACAATTGGGACGCAAGAAAGTCTTCCTAAGCAGGGATTCTCACCCGAGACTCTTGTCTAATGTAACGGCGCTAGCTTTCCGAGCCCCTCGTGGGGATCCCCCGGTAGCTATACG